ATTTAGCATGAAAGTCGGTAAAAGGTCAATGCTAAGACTTGTTTCAGAATTACCACATATAGGGAAAATGGCAAGAACAGAGGCTGGGTAAAACAAATGGTTTAAACTCATCATGACACTATAGGTTAGGGATGTCCACATAGATCAGGATTGATAGACCACACTGTTATAGACTGCCCAGACCCCCTCTCAACTTCAGGTATATTCAGAAGATTTGGAACCAATTCAAAGTCCAGCTGTCACATCTTTTCTTATTAATACATAACTTATATATCCCAAACTTTCAGGACTGTACCTCTTTTCCCCTTCAAATCGTTCCGAAAGTATACTGGTCAAATGTACCGTATTGTATATCCTGTGATAAACCCAAGGGGTCAATGCATTATCTCTCACTCAAAACTTGTAGTGGTCAATGCATTATTGCAGGAGAATTGATTATAAATAGCACTTATTAGCATTTCTATTGAACTTATTTTTACATTTATACTGTACTTATTGACTGTAAACCGTTAACAGTTAACAAGTCCTTTTTGCATGTTTCAAGTTGCTGTAAAATGATTCAGTCTGTAGATACAGGTTTTTATCGTACAAAATGGAAACTGGTCAGAGGGCAGTCCTAGACCTGTAGTCAAAAACATCCGGGTCATTCTCCTTGCAGTGTCTCATCACATGTTCAACTAGTCTATAACGATAGGAATTGCATTGTTTTCATAAGAATCTAGTTGTCTTTCAAGATAATTTCTACAAGGGTTCCCAATGCAAATAGAAGTTCCATTATGATGGTTTTCTATCAAAACATTTCCCATACTCTTCAAATTCCTTTGTTTTTTGCTTTCCTTTGCTTTATATTCAATCAGTAACATTTGAAATGTGCGTTTAGTAGGAAGACTTCAATGGTAGGCTACTAAATGAGCTAATAATACATAGCAGGTCTTATCAAAGGAAAGCAAGCCTAATGGTAGAAGAGTATTTGATTGATCAGTTACGTTTATCCAGAAGTCCAGATAGAGATTTATTTGAGCTTCGCATTCAGAAGCTGTAAAATTTATATTCATGTATGAATACAAATATTCAGGTATCCAGGGATAATCCTGAAGGGGGTCATGGGGCCATAATGAGTGCTCAAAACTGAAAGTGACCCCTCTATGTTCTAATTTTCTTTTAATTTACATAAGATGGCTCCACTTAATTTTGATATTGACTAAAAATTGCTGCAATTTCTTGACTGGTACGTACAGTCATAATTAACTAACAACAAAATTCAATGAATACTGTAAAATTAAGTCACTGGAATGATGGCCAATTTTTTTTTAGCAAAAGTGCCATCGACCTTGATCATAATAAAGTTCATCTGACACTTTCCAAGAGAGATAATATTCTTGGAATAAACACTTGCATGAAATTTCATGGATATCAAACAGAATATAATGTCACTATGTATACACACACTGATAATTACTGTATTTGCTAAAATAAAAAGTAGCAATAACCTTGACCTCAACAACCTAAAATTGAAGCTCACTTGACGTACTCCCATAATGAACATTTGTATGAAATTTAATTAAGATCTTCGAAGATACACCTATTCCTCGGTATATGAGCAGAACTCTATATCCCCCCAGCTACTAATAACATAATAAAAGTTGTGAGGGGATAATTAATACATATATCACGCCAGAGCCACTAGAATGAATCATGGCCGACATGAGCGGCTTGTTTGCTAACCAGTAAATCAATCAATATGTGTTGTTTATTAATTAACAACAGTAAGCATGTCAATATTCTCTATTTAGATGTAGAGCAAAGCTTTAACTTAAGTTATGCCGCTCAAACTAGCATTACAAAGTGTGAAATACCGGTATTGATGAGAATGTTCCAGCATGTGCTATAGGGCTCAAACTAGCATTACAAAGGGTGAAATACCGGCATTGATGAGAATGTACCAGCATGTACTATAGGGCTCAAACTAGCATTAGAAAGTGTGAAATACCGGTATTGATAAGAATGTACCAGCATGTACTATAGGGCTCAAACTAGCATTACAAAGTGCGAAATACCGGTATTGATGAGAATGAACCAGCATGTGCTATAGGGCTCATCCTAGAACTACAAAGTGTGAAATACCGGTATTGATAAGAACGTACCGGCATGTGCTATAGGGCTCAAACTAGCATTAGAAAGTGTGAAATACCGGTATTGATAAGAACGTACCGGCATGTGCTATAGGGCTCAAACTAACATTACAAAGTGTGAAATACTGGTATTGATGAGAGTGTACCAGCATGTGCTATAGGGCTCAAACTAGCATTACAAAGTGTGAAATACTGGTATTGATGAGAGTGTACCAGCATGTGCTATAGGGCTCATCCTAGCATTACAAAGTGTGAAATACCGGTATTGATGAGAATGTACCAGCATGTGCTATGGGGCTCAAACTAGCAATGCAAAGTGTGAAATACCGGTATTGATGAGAGTGTACCAGCATGTGCTATAGGGCTCAAACTAGCATTACAAAGTGCGAAATACTGGTATTGATGAGAATGTACCAGCATGTGCTATAGGGCTCATCCTAGCATTACAAAGTGTGAAATACCGGTATTGATGAGAATGTACCAGCATGTGCTATAGGGCAGAAATCTTATAACCTAATAAACACCATCTAACTCATGAACAAGAGAAAACTACTCCTGGAAGTTCCATTCTAGTCCAATCACAGTACACTGTTATTAACATACCTATAACGTAATCAGACAGAGCTACTAAACACAATTTGGTTCTTTTTCTAAATATCCATTCCAATCAAATATTTCTTTTCTTCTACTTTTAGAACAATGGTGACTGCCCGAAGGTATCATACATCAGGTATTTCTCATCACTATCTAATGTTTGCTTCATTTGAAAGATGACGCAGACTTATAGGTAATAGCATCAGCATGGATAAAAAATCAAATTTTGCATCCTGCTTATATTACTGATACACAGTGTATTAATTTTCTATTCGGTATGTGTTCAGTTTAACACCAGCAACTGTTGTACTATCTCTCATTTTGCATTTCAGTTAGTTTTTATCAAATTTAGCTAATTAATTAGACGCACATGTAAGTGACAGAAAGTAGGAACCGAACAGTTAATTATAATTTTAAGATGAGCCTAACTTAGGTTTCAGTTTAGCACTTCTAATTGAAAAGACATTCATGAGGATTTGAATTTGTAAGGAATTGATCGACACTTTTTATCCCCCATTTAAGACAGAGATGTAAGGCTAAAAGAAGGAAAAAATTTCAGGTTAGGGAATTTGCTCATACAAAATCAATAAAATTTTGAACTCTGGGGGGAGTTTCAACAGATAGAGAAATGTTTTCTGCAGGATAAATTTACCGAGATATGGAACAGAAATTGACCTAGATAATGGTCGTTAATAGGGTTTGAATACTGTCTGTTATAAACTATCATTACATAATGTAGTACATGTACATCTGGGTTTGCCTCATACAAACTAAATTAGCAATGTTAAATTCAAAAACAGTTTTATGACTGCAGTCATTAAGAATCTGCAAGCAAGTTCTGAAATTATTATTGATTAATAATTTGGCTTTAAAAGCTTTTATTTTTACGATGTTATTGAACTCTTTCCACTATTCATCATTCTTTTTTTTTCTCAAATTAATTTTCACAGTTTTAATTCTACAAGGATTAAGAAAACAAATAAAATCTTTTAAAGACTTCATAAAACTGGATTTCAATAATCTCAAAAATTTCATTCATGAACTTTAAATTTCAAAATAAAAATCCCATTCCCAGCCTCTGTACCTTATAAAAGTGCAAATTAATCACAGCACAGCAAGACGACAGACACTTTTTCAACAGTTATTCTGACAGGCTAAGTCTGTCTGTAACTTGTGTGTTTAATTATCAATAACACTTTCTATTCAATTATGGCTTTTATTTTGCACCTGAAAAAAAAGTTTTATTTATACTTCTCCAATCTCTGGGCCTATGTTGCAGTAACATCAGACACAAATCACGAATTCTGACCCCTTTACATGTATATGGCAAACCTAATATTTTGAGGGTCAAAAGCTATTTTAGGATGTCATACACCCCCATATATGGAGGTAAACTGAAACCCTGTTTGTTATTTGTTCATATGAAGACTGTTCATTGATGATGGACTCAAATACTGCTGCATTAAAGTGTAACCTCACTGAACTTTCATATCCTAGACACATATAGTACCCAGTATATATAAGTATACTGGTCAAATGTACCGTATTGTATATCCTGTGATAAACCCAAGGGGTCAATGCATTATCTCTCACTCAAAACTTGTAGTGGTCAATGCATTATTGCAGGAGAATTGATTATAAATAGCACTTATTAGCATTTCTATTAAACTTATTTTTACATTTATACTGTACTTATTGACTGATAAATATGGCATATGTAAACCGTTAACAGTTAACAAGTCCTTTTTGCTTGTTACAAGTTGCTGTAAAATGATTCAGTCTGTAGATACAGGTTTTTATCGTACAAAATGGAAACTGGTCAGAGGGCAGTCCTAGACCTGTAGTCAAAAACATCCGGGTCATTCTCCTTGCAGTGTCTCATCACATGTTCAACTAGTCTATAACGATAGGAATTGCATTGTTTTCATAAGAATCTAGTTGTCTTTCAAGATAATTTCTACAAGGGTTCCCAATGCAAATAGAAGTTCCATTATGATGGTACCCAGTATATATACATGTATGATGACACTCCAGCTGTGTCACAAATCACTGACAACCGGCTTACCAGTCCTACTGCCATCTATTTATAGATGAACATCAAGTGAGTGAGAAGTTAGTGTTAATTTAATTAAAGGCTTTGGCTTGTCTCAGTGAAAGGACAAAAAACCTTACCCAGTAACCTTCACTTCGGCAAACACTCAATACCAAGGCTAAAGGCAGAGGCATTTCGAAGTGAGAAAGGATTGAAAAGATTGTGTATTATTTCGTACTTACTCGTTACATTCCTTGGAAAGTTGAGATGGAATTTGGTATTTACAGTCAAAGATCATGGTGAGAGTTTCACTGTCGCTGGCTTCGTGGAAGGGTGGACTCCCACACACCAGCATGTAAAGGAGGACTCCAAGACTCCACACATCTGTAAAACAACAAAAACGGTCATTTTAACTCCACACATCTGTGAAACATATAGGACACAAAATGTAGAAATGTATAGTGTGGCAATTGAGACCCTGTTTAAGTATGTGATATTCTGCAATCCCAAGAGGTTTTCACATAAATGATTTGTTAATTGTATGTGTGATAGGGTACATATGCCTTGGACAAAGTGACACACCATGAACAAAGGGTCATAACTCTGCACCCCATAACTATATGTGTGTACATGTACATAGCAGGGCACTCCCACCATACCATGATGTACTCTAAATTACATACAAAAATTGTCAACTATAGGCTACAGGCCTCAATGGGTTTAAGATAAATGCTCCTAACAATAGTTTGTTTGATTGTGTTTTAATTCCTATTAACAGCTATATGGTTATTTAAGGGACGTGCCAGGCTTTGTGGTGGAGGAAAGCTGCAGATCCTGGAGAAAAACCACCGACCTGCGGCCAGTACCTGGCAAATGTTCCACGTAGGCCTCCAACCCGCGACCCAGTGGTGGGGGGCCATTATAGTGATCTAGATGGTCAGACAAATTTGCCACTCAGCCACAGTGGCCCCCTTATGACACATGGACATGTGGATAGAATGCAAACCTCTAGTTCCATCCACAATACTAGAGTAGTACCATTTGGGGACTTGTAACCAAACATTAACAGTGATTACGAGGAAAGTGATGGTGTTTGGAGAAGTTTTTTGTACATGACTAGTTTATATAAATAGAGAAATATTTTCTAATTTGATTTTAAAATTATACATCGTATCTAGATTTTTCCTGATACAATACCATTGACAAGGTTGATCATCACACACATATAGTATTTTTAACCTCTATATGGACTCATTACGGGTTATCAAGTTTTTTCTATAAACATATGTTTGCATATTTAGAAAAGTGTCATCATCCATTGTTAATTGTGTTTATAGAAAGGAAGTGATATAAGTACCTGTGATCATTAAATTACATCATCATCCATATATAATGTACTGTACTGCTATCCAGTATACATTTATCCACACTAGTACTATGGAACATATTTGATGGGGCATTTATAATGTTTTTTAACTTAAACTTGTTCCACACACAAAAGAATATGTGATTAATTAAAAGTACCATTATTCAACAAAGGTTACATAAGATCCACTGATGCTACATCAGAGATCGCCCTATATATTTTTGACGCATTGAAATCGTCTGGGATGCAATTTTGTTGACTGCATCGCGTCCCCTGGATGGGGAAATTTTATTGTCTACATGCCTTTAAAATCAGTCCAATTTCAGTACTTTTCGTGTCATTCTCTACGGCGATACAAGTCTTGCAGTAAGAAAACAATGTACAGGAATTCACCCTTACAGATCAATGTTATAATGCAAGTTTCCAACGCTGTCGTTGATTGGTCAGTTAATTACGATGTCAGAATCTCTTCTGCATTTGTAAATCAGGGACATTTATGCACTTATTACAATACGGAAACCGATGAAGAAACAGGCAAGGACTTTTAAATCGGAATGGTTCCAGTCATTTAAATGGCTATCGTTTGTAAATGATGCGATGATTTGCCAGGTATGCTTTCGGCAAAGTTAAAGAATACTTTTGTTAGAGGGGGTAGGGACTTCCAGTGGTCAAGTCTCCTACGAAACCAAGAAACAGCCAGTCATATACATGCTGCTAGTGCGAAGTCGGAGGCATCCCAGCAGTTAAAGTGTATCAAAACGGCAAATGAAAACACAAAATACGGCCTGACACAAGAACTCAGGACTGTCGCCTTAGATAGTAAGGCAGAGATGCTAATTCCTCTGATTTTAGCGTAGTTAAATCGATTTTATGGTAGTCAATCTGCTCTTTGATTTTTGTTTAAATTTCCCCCAATTTTTCTGGGGGTTTTCCAGTTTACATCACTGAAATATCTCCATGAATGCAAGACAATTTAGCACTTATATTTTAGAAGGGCTGAAATACCATCTCCTGGCATCTACAAAACAAAAATGTTCAGGAGGCCCCGTTATCCCCCTCTTCCCCTGGTGGCAGCTAGGACCTTCGGTCCTCGCCCAGGGCCTTCAGCCCGGGGGACCACACTTTATTACTTCACAAAATATATCACACCTTTATTTTTAAAGCAACCTTTAATTAGGACAGTACTCTATAACATAGTAATATCACATCTTGATTCAGTGGAAGTTACTATCTCAAAATGAAACGAGCACAATTAAGAACTAAATAAGCTGAGAAATAGTAATAACAAACTTCATGTCAAAATCCCAACATGGCCAAATGGCAGCCAGCTTATTCAATCAATCTCAAAATTTAATATGCACAACAAGGCCCAACAGGAATCCACTTGCAGAATTTTAAAAATCGATCCCTACCTACAAACATTTCACCTAACTTATTTATCAATGTTGTTACGAGAATGATGTAATCATGTTCTGTAAATAATTTAAACATTGCACAATAATTATATTAGGTGTAGTGTTGCAATAGTATCTTAAACATAGCTACAATATACAATGAAATTGGATGCTTTATTTCAGCAACATATATATGTACTTAGTAAATTTATTTTACACTGTGAATATGTTTAATGAAATCTCCACCAGATTTGTTAGTGTTACCCTCAGAAATACCAGAAAGAGCATTTCAATTATTTTTTTTAGTTCCAATATCAATTTACAATTAATGTGATTGAGAAAATAGAATGTTCCTTGACAAACTATTTCATGGTACATGGCGAAAGAAAGGTTCACAGGGTACAGTCGGATAATAGGTCAGGCCATAACGTTTTTGAATGTTTCTCATAAATAAGTAAATAACACCCCTCACCATACACTTTGTACTGCAGTAATTCAAAAATGTGTAAATATTTTTCTCACCCTGCTGTAATGATAAACAATGGTGGATATGTACATAATATGAAAAATCCCTACATATCTATATATATATGTTACTTATGTTTCAACAATATACATATAATGCTGGCTATAAATCAGGAATCTGCCATCACTGTACGTACATCAGGTGAGAATTACAGGTCAGGTGATGAGGTATCAGGTGTATATTTTAACGTCTTTTTAAATCAACATGTAGATCATGTAAATGTGTGTTATAAAACTTTGTACATATTAGCATAGTTTATCTATAAAACTTTGTACATATTAGTATAGTTTATCTTAGTTTATCTATAACAAATCCCTGTAGGTTATATTATTCAACCACCTTTACTTTTAAAAGACCAGTATTTATGAGCTCCTAAGTTTAAGGATGGTCTAGATCTCTCATATACAGATTGGACTGTATTTTGATGACAGGATATACAATTTGGTTTTATCATGTGACTTTGTGACATTTGAAATAATTATGTGAAGGTAACATAAGAAGTGTAATAAATAACAATAATGTACAGGATGTACAGGCTTTTTTTCTGTTGCACCAGATTAATTTCATGAATTAAACAAACCAGGGGAAACAAGCTGTTACATACCGGAATATAATGAACCACAAAGAACTTCACATTTATGATAACAAAATGAATCTCATTAAACAAATGTATGATAAATTCCTACTTTTAAGAAAATTCTGTCACAGACTTAATAATACATTGTACATGATTACGTAATACAAATAGATCCTATCGTTTTTATACATGTTTGTCTATAGCTAGGATTCATAAATAACTTTAAATGTAATTCAATTCATTATTTTTAGATTACACCCGGTATCCCAAGGGCCATGGGCACATACATGTATTAGTGTTATTGTATCTATGTATAATGTATATATGTAGAAGGATGTTGCACTTGTCGCTAGAAATGTTGATAGGACCTGACACTAAATGCTGTACCGCCTCCCGTAACAAGTTTTCCTTCGTATAAGATGTGATGAACAACGTACAAGGTGAAACCCAAGGTCAACAAAGTATATATATATAGCGTACCACTGGTACAATCAGTTTCTGATCCCCCACCCCCTAGGAAAATACACCATGTGGCGGCCACTGGGTACATATAGTGTAAACTACTACTTCTAATCTCTCGTCCTTCAGATACAAAAGATCTCGCAGAAAGATTAACAAATTAAGGGCTTTTAAAGCCACTAACACCTTCATCTGGTCAGGCCCAATACAAATCCTCTATAGCAAACGACCATGTAACATGGCAAAAAAACACCCTCTATTATCTATATTTAGATGCTGAGAAAACAAGTTCTGTGACCAGACACAACCGGAGAAAATTGTTCAGAATTCTGGCAAAGTGACGGAGGAATCTAAACATCTCAAGCCAACCCATCCTCCCACACATTATTATTGACAGTTTTCCAGCCGAGACCCTGTAGCAACTTGATAACATTAATACAAATGTACCAGTAAATTTTGTATATATACTAATAAGCATTGAACTGTGGTGTTTAAATACAATTTTCCTTTACAGAGTTGGTATTCATGTTGTCTATCATGTTAATAATGTATGACAGTATCTGAAATCAGTCTCAGTAAATAATTTCAAACAGTAACAATATTTGTATGCCAAGAATAAAGTTTAACATACCTTAATAGATATATATATGTATATAACAACCATCATCTCACAGCAAGTTTCAGAGCTAGGTACATATTACAATTGTGACCAGTAAAGAGTATACTAAAGACGACAAGATTTTAGCCCAAGTCATGTAATGTATATATGCTGCTTGACATTGCTGCGTGTTTGAATGTGTATATATATATATACTTGATGGTAAACTTAATATACATCTTACTTTTTTTATACAAACTTAATATAAAAGTTAATTGTTAAATTAATTAATTACACCCTGCTAATTACTCATTACCCTCTCTGCAGTATTGTAACTTCCTAACTGAAAGCCAATCAGTTGAAAGGTTGGATGAAACTTATACTGATCTGTCACTATATACAAATGTATATCTATAGCTAGACATGCCCAATTATTATTTATCTGGAGACGGCACCACACAGAC